CCTATACCCCCCTATACCTCCCCCATACACCCCCCCATCCCCAAAAGTTTCTCAGCGGATTTGGGCTGTATTCAGCAAGCGCAGTACAGCCTCCAACTCAGATTTGAAAAAAGAGCAGTGGATGGCTGTTTTCTACCTGGTCGGCAGACCACCGACCGGTTGGCCCTACTGGTCGGCTGCAAAACGGTCGGCAGTCGGGGTCGGTGGTTGGCAGGTATGCAACCCCTGAGAAGGACAAAATCCAGCAGGGGTGTTCTCTGCTTGGGGTTGAGTGAGAGTGGGCAGAGCTAAAATTTCATGCACTGCAGCCTCTGCTACGACTTGGGGCCGGACCCCACTGTTGCTATGTTCATGCTTGGAAAGTATGAACCTGGATGCAGCCAGGTTCGTCCATTCATAGCATGACTTTTGCCCCAGTGGGGCCTGCCGATTATTTGCTTGCAGTGACTCCATGGGTCCACCCTTTCTTTGTAGGAGCTGGACTGACTTTTTCCTTTCTTTTTTTTGTTTCAGAATGATTTGATTCTTTTCATCTGATTGTATCTGGATTTTCTGGACTGACTTTTTCCTTTCTTTTTTTTCTTTCAGAATGATTTGATTCTTTTCATCTGATTGTATCTGGATTTGAAATCAGGTCTGTATTTCAACAGTTCATCGAGTGTACCAACTGAGCCAGGCCTGTTGGTGCACTTTTGCCTTGCCTTGTTTGGAACTACAGGATGAATGCTCAGCGGCGGTGATGGGAGCTGCGCTGTCGGTGGCAGAATGATACCATTTCAGGTGGCTTATGTCGATCACTCTTGCACTCACTATCGACGGTGTCATCCAAAGTCGCCATGTAGAATGCTAAGTGCTGTGCTGAGCTGAGCTCTCATGTTGCACTACCAGCTAGATTACTTCTGGGTTTGTGAGGCTTGTTATTGTCTTGTGGTGCACTCGCTGCAGTGAAGTGACTGAAGAGCCCATAATAGTAATTCCTATTTACCCAGACCCTGAAAACCCCTCCCCGTTTGGTCTCTCCAACTCCAGTCCTACCAGCCCGTACACTACTTCTACATCGGCAATATAACCCTCCCCCCGATTCAACTGACTGAGCAGGAGACTTTCTATGGGCACATTCGTAGCAACGAGGAATATGGACTGGAAAGTTGGGGAATGAACAGGGGAAACTTTTACGGGGCCCTTTCCTTGGCTAGCGAGTGTGCCCCCCAGGCATCAATTCAGAGTGAGCAGCGACGCTAGGTGGGCTGGACGGTGGAGTAATAGCGGGTGCTGTTACTGGGGAAAAGAACCGTTTCCCCAGTCCAAAAAGAGGAGGAGAGAGATGAATGAGAAGAGTTTTGAACATCTCGGGTGCGATACTTCATAGAGAGTAGACAGTAAGCTAAGGTTGTGTTGCAGGCGGGTCCTTGGTACTGCAGCTGCAGGCTGTTCCTTGGTACCCCCCAGGCATCAATTTAGAGTGAGCAGCGACGTGAGGTGGGCTGGACGGTGAAGTAATAGTGGGTGCTGTTTACTGGGGAAAAGAACCGTTTCACCAGTCCAAAAAGAGGAGGAGAGAGATGAATGGGAAGAGTTTTGAACATCTCGGGTGTGATACTTCATAGAGAGTAGACAGTAAGCTAAGGTTGTGTTGCAGGCGGGGCGTTGGTACTGCAGGCTGGTCCTTGGCAGTGCAGCCTGCAACAAAGTAAGCTATGGTTGTGTTGCAGGCTTGACCTTGATACTGCTAGTTTAAGGGCAGGCAGTACAGGGAAGTAGGTGGTTTGCGAGGTAGAGTAGTGATTGGTATTACTGTATGCGGGAATATGAATCAATTTCCCCTGTTTGGAGAGGAAGGGCAAATATGGGGAGGACAATTTGTGAAGGGCGAACATGTCCGGCCGCAAGTCCAAAGCACAGATTGTGGGTGGTGGTTATGCTGCACTCTGCTGCCTGCCACTGCATTTGTGTGGCCAGGGGCAAAATAAATTGCAATGGCGTAACTGTGTAGCTCTGGGAGCATCCTGCCAAGGGTCACAAGTGTGGCAGTGGTTGACGATTCCGTTCAGTAGCGTGAAGGTCGCTGCATCGAGTTCTGGCAAAATGCGGTTCTTGGTAGTGACCCGACTTTATGCTTGTTGCGAGCTGCCAAAGATGCCAAGGAGTTCATACATATATGATTTTGTCAGTTATGGCAGAAGAGGACCCAAATACAGATGGATTGGGTTTGAGGAAAGAAGGGCATTTAGGGCTTTCATAACAGCATTTTTCTACTGCCATTTGAGATTAGCTTTTTAACTGTTTTGCCGATGAGATTTTGCCATGCGGGGCAGCTCTGTTTTTTTTTTTTTTTTTTTTTTAATTAACTCTGCTTGACTTGGTTGCACAAAGTTCGAGCTTGAACTTGTTGCACATTCTGCCCTTTAACAAAGTTCTTTTTTTTTCTTCTGTTTTTTCTTTTTTTAATAATTTCTTTTAGAATTGATTCATTTAATGGACTGCATTGTCAAGAGCTTGGGGAGGAGGGACTGTAGATGCTCATTTATTTATGGATAGGCCGCCTGTGCTTGCATGGTACGTTGAAGTGAGGTGCTGGTAAGGTCTTCAACAGGGCACATGTGCACAAATCACTCACTATCATCATCGTCTCAATTGCAGAAGATTTTGATGTGTGCATCTCCATGCAGAAAGGATGTGTGCACCACTTTCGTTTTCTGTCAACAATCGTCCATCCCACAGCTGTCTTGCTGACCTGTGGGAAGTCGTCGATGCTCAATGCTCTGTCCCGTCGTACTTCAAGGAGATGATTGCGCCTGCTGGTATACTGGGATTTCATCAATGGCAGCAACTCCTGGCTGGTGTTTTGTTGCAATGGACTCGTTCTGAACACTGCTTACTAGATTCCTGCCTGCCTGCTGACTTACCGGTTCCTAATCGATGGAGCACAGCTGCAGGCAAAGGCTTTAACAAGTGCCTGCATTGTGATAAATGAAGGTTGTATCGCATGGGTACGCCTATGAATAGGTGACAGCATGCGACATATCAATCCAAGTTGGGCAAGGAAAACGCCGGCAATACCCCACCTTGTATTCTGTTTTCTGCTGAGCCTTCGTCCAGTGCTTGTATCTTCGGTATATGCTGTTGTGTGGTTGACAGCAGTGGCACCTTTAGACGAGGACGGGCTCTCAATCTGGTCTTGGCGAAGAGCTGAGCTGAGTATAAGGTCATACTCACACTTGGACTTTCTCGTCTGAAGCTGGCCATATAATTGTTATTTTTTGGACAGAATTGAGCAAGTCCGGGAAGGTACAAGTGTCACTATCTGCCCAGAAGAATTGGTTTGTGCCTGATAGTCAGCCAAAGGAGCATTCTGTCAATCATGAGCTGCTCTGTGTTGACCAAGATGGAGAGCTGTCGGATCAGAAGCTGCACCCGTTTTGTCTTTTTTTTTTATCAGAAAGGGGGGGGGGAGCTGGAGGAGAAAAAGGGGGGACTAAGGGAAAGAG